TGAAAGGGTGAGTTCGACATTGAAAGAATAGGTCTTAAAGGAATACCACTTTGTTAGTTTTGTTAGTTTGTTAGTTTAGCATATATTACACAAGTTATTTTGATCCACTATGTGGACGTAATCCCGAGTAAGCTTTTTAATAAGGCAAACAGCCTTTCTAGTTCAGTTTATTGACCGTAATAAGCATCTATTTTCGCTAAGTCTGGACTAGCCTGAGATCGAAGATAGCTTCTATGCTATTAAACATGACAAAACCAAACTTTTTATTCATATGCATTATGCCATGGGACAGCCCCAAAATACGTAACAAAAGTTTTAAAAATAGCCTATCATGAACCGGGAAATTTAGTGTACATTTTTTCAAATGATGGTGAAGTCAACTGAAAGGAATCACAATTATATTTAGTAGTAAGCAACAAGTTCAGTATTAAAAATTATTTTTGCTAATACTTTAAGCTTATTTTGTTACCAAAAATGCAGTAAGAAAAGGTTTTGACCGCATTTTGCTTAACCGCATCAACTATCTGTGACGTAAGCAGAGCTGCCTACATATTATCGCAAAGATGGAGGTAAAACCAGATCTTATTTAATTAAAATCATGTAGAAATATGATTTTTACACTATAATTTCCGTTTATGCGTTATTAAGAAGCACAACAGATAGAAGAATAAGAATTATATGAAAATCTTAGTATATATGAGCCCACTTACGTCTGCATTTGCAAAATTATGACAGAGCCGGAAGGTAATAACCTATAGTGAAAAGTACTACAGTATAAAGAGGAAAGTGAGTTTGTTTCATTTCCAGTCAACAGTTTTGATGTGAACATTGAATAGAATCTACGTTTATGGAATAAAGCTTGAACACACAGAAAAGCGGCCAAAACTTTGCCAGAAGTTAAAGGACAATCTGCTTAAGGACAACAGTATATTTAAAATGTTTTGACGAAAGAAATGTTCTTTTGGTATGAAGAAAGTGATGAGGTTGTGCCTTAAGCATGCGATAGGAAAGTAGGTGGTAAGGTAGTCTGTTCAGGATACAATAAGATACGATACGGTAAGATTTATTGTGCTTATTTAGAGATATTTTTGCGTCTCCCGAACTTGAGGATTTTTAAGAAGATTTTATTCTTTCTTAACAAACACTTAGTACCTTTTAAATTTTAAGTAGCAAATTTGCCTAAGGTTGTGCATTATAATTTCTACCTTTTCGTATATGTGTTCATTTCGGTATGCGTGTACTGATCAACCCTTCCTAAACTTTGGAATTTCGCACGTAGCCCTCACCCTTATGCATATATATGCTTCAGTTGGCATATTGCGCCCAGCATAAAATCTTTTTAACCATCTTTGTTTATTTGAACTGGAACAATGAAGTCATTAGCGCGCGCTGCCAAGAAGGTTTTGAATGTAGTGAAAGTTTGCCTAAATTTTGCCACCCATTCAAAGACTGGTCACCATAATGATGAAAACTGCAGTGTTCGCTATTATGCGCTGTTGGCGATCTCCTGGTGCTATGCTGTTTGCGTGCCCAATTTAATTCATAGTGAAGGAAGTTTTTGCTGAAAGTTGTGCAATTAATTTTTTTAAATAAAGCCTACCTCTGTCTATCTCGCTCTCACAACAGCATATCCACAACTCATCCACTCGCTCACTCTGAAGTAAAATATTGTGACGAGCAACTCTGCGTCCGCCCACATCGGTTATTCTTTAAAATTAAACAATGGGACGGACGTAAAAATAACCTCAAGGTAATTAATGCCTTCCTTATCCGCAAAGACCAGGGGATGAACTTTCACAACAAACATGACCAGCTGATTACTGTCGCATTTGTCATTTCGATAACAACTTAAAGATGACAGTCTTAACAAATAAGCTTTTATATTATGCGCCATTGTTGTCGGAAATGTCAAAGGACATGATAATAGTCATTGATAGACAAAACTTTTACAGTTTCTTACTGTTCATGTTAAAAGAGTATAAAGTAGTTCAATATGATTTAGGATAATGTGCATTAGCCTCAAAAACCCCTTTTCAAAATGGTACATAATTCAAGTTAAAATAGATATACAGTAACATATTGAATTAAACAAAATAATGTTCATGAAGGTAGTGATTAAATCACAGTCCTCGACGCACCGAGGATAGCGAAAATATCATAGCTTTCTTTTGGTAAAGAAAACCGTTGGTTTCTTCTAACAACGCTTTCTTCACTGGTTGAAAATCACCTTCCAAGTGTAACGATGTAACACAGATGTCGCTGGTTAAAACGAAAATGTTCAGTCCAAGGATGTTCATAGTGCAGATCTCAGTAGAACGATGCTTCCGACATCTTTATTATTAATTATTAATGACTTTCCGGTATAGGAAAAACAGCGGGTCTTCTTGCGCGATAAAATTCAATGTCATCAACATCTTTCTCCACGTCATCCTCCAATCCGGAATAGCAAAAACACAACCGCTGATCCAAGTACATGCCGCTGGCCACAAGTACGATGGCTCCCAGCATCAAAAACCCGCCAAAAATGCACTGCCTAAAAGGGCAAAAAAGGGTCTACTTAATTTCATCTTCGAAAAATATTTTTGTGCTAAATATCAATAATGCAATTCACTTGACTGTACATTAAAATTTACTTTTAATCTGTTTGTTCAAAAAGGAAGATTCCTAACAATCGGAACTTCCGTAACCTATCTGCGTACCTAGATATCTTAATTTCACCGGTAACATACCGAAGTCTTACGCGTTTGTAGACCCGAGAAACTGCGACAACTTCTAACTGAAATTGGGACTCTGTAATGCTGTCTAAACCATTTCAAACACGTTGGCAGTGGTTCTATCGAAAGCTTTAATGTTGACAAGAAAAGGCTCCCCAAATCCCAAGTCAAGGAAGACGGTGTTAGTGGACAGAGCCTTGGTGCCAGAAAATGAAAGGTACAACGGCTGTTATACGAGCCAGTTGTCCGTTCTACTATACGAATGGATCCTGTTAAGGTGGTCCAAAGACAGAAACACTATTTTTGTTGTCTGACTTTCATGTGGGAGTGGAATCCTCCATGCCGATGATCGGTCTAAGCTAACTAATCTACGTGCCAGTCAGAGATTAGTTGGCTGCCGCGCTCTCCTAGATGTCCTGGATAAACACAGGGACCAGAATAGGGCGTCGAAGGCCTCATTTGAGGTACGTTCCCACAACAAAGGTCAAACATGGGAGGGGGTCATCAATGGCACTGGTAGGTGCATGCTCAGGCCGCACCAGCTGCCCGTAACCTTTATAGCACTCCCAGTCGGCAAGGTGTGAGTGAGGCGTGAGGCTATGGCCACCTGCCTCCGACAGCGACTTTGGTCTTTTGAACTCTAGTCTTGGAACTGTGTAGGGTCGGGTAAGGCGAGAGATGCATCGGAATTCTGATACCACGTAAAAATAATCCAAGCGCAGGTCACAGTCCCTGCCTTAGCCGTATTGGTTCATACGCGATCCTCCGGCGTCGACAACCCATTCAGGGTCTGCTCGTGTCGGAGGTCTGATCTCACCCGCATGGACCGCAAGAATTAGATGAAGACAGTGCACTTAAGTGCCACGCATAGCACACAGAAGAAGATACTGATGTGTGCGCGCAAAGTTTGTCTCTGTAAATCGGTTTTATGTCATCCTCCAGCTCTCCTGCTGCACGCGACAACTGACGACAAAACTGGGAGCTTGTTCGCGTTCAGATGCCCCAGCCTATCTTCAAAAAACAAATCCAAAGGCTCACGCCGGACACTGAATTTTTCATACGCCAGACCCATTTTAGGCCGGTTCTATTGCACTGACGCAACAACACTGGACCCATGCGGTAGTCATGCCAAATGCTGCGGAACACTTCTGGACTTCTAGTCCCGGTTACGGAATATGCCTCAGCAATTATAACTCCCCTCACAATAAGACAAACCTTGTTTGAATTTCATATTAAACTGCAAATTTTACTAGCGAACTTATCAAATTCCTGTTGAAACGCACGAAGTGGCCGCAGGGTATTGTGGCAGTCCACAAACATGCACTCTGCTAAGCCACGTCTTCTTGCTCACCTTACACCTTGCCTACACAGGTGGCCGCCAGTGCAAAGGCTGACTCATGCCTCCTAGTCCGCCTCATGCTCCTGATTCGTTAGCTACTGGAGCCACCCACGTCTGGGCAACGGCCAATCAACGTGCGTACTTTTATAGATTGGCTGACGAAGAACGGGGGCCATATGTCGGACACTGACACACACATAGGCCTGAAGTTCATCTAGTAGCAACTACTTCAACTTCGCAGCTGCGAGGATAATTGCCCACGCAAGCAGCAAGAGGGGCC